GCTTCACCAAATCCACGACTGTTTTAACAGACACATCTTCCAGAACATCGTCCTCCGCACTACCAACCTGCAACACATACACAAAAACGCATAAACAAGCTACCCAAACATTACATCAAATATAAACTCACTACATACCATATCATTTACCTTTTCTTCTTTCTTCTTCTTCTTCTTCTTTTGTACATCTCTTTCATAAGATTCACCACCCTCACGTTTTTCCACCAAATCACTTACATTTCTTTCTTTCTTCTTCTTCTTCTTCTTCTTTTCTGCATCTCCTTCACCAGATTCAACACCCTCACTGTTGATCACATCCTTGACATTGTGGACTTTCTGCCTCTTTACGGGAGATTCAGAGTCACTCGCTGCATTAGAATTTACATTTTTCTTCTTCTTCTCAGTCTTCTTCACATCCCAATAACCTTTAACAAACTTATCCTCATGTATGTCTCGGATCAAATTATCAAGTGCTGGGTCCTCTTCTTCATCTGGCCACGTATGAAATAGCTCTCTGACATCATCCTTCATAACCAATTTACTCACACGCAGCTATAACATAAGAGATTATAAAACCCATTAGTAAGTTTAAACTGAATCATCAATAATTATAACTCAGCCATTACTAACCATCACTAATATAACTCAGCCATCCATAAATCATAACTCAGTCATCAAAAACGATAACTCAGCCATCACAAAATTTAACTCAGCCATTACTAAAATATAACTCAGTCAGTAACTATCATAACTCAGTCATCGAAAACGATAACTCAGCCATCACAAAATATAACTCAGCCATTACTAAAACATAACTCAGTCAGTAACTATCATAACTCAGTCAATAACTTTCATAACACAGCCAAAACCTTACCTCACCATGCGCTTTGATATCTTCAGCAATGGTCAATTCCATTGTTTTACGTGTACGGTTTCCACCCCAACGAAGCAACGGTATCTCATCCTTGTTGACTACTCTCCCATATCGCTCTCCAAAGCATTTGACTGAATCATACGCCAAAGCCTGTAACACGTAAACCATACCACTGACGGTGTACGTCTTTCCAACAGGCCTCAACAACTTTATAGAATTAACCAGGGCTTCAAATGCTGACCGACCCCATGGATAAGTGTTCATGGATTCCTCATCAAAAACTCTTTTCGCACTCTCAAATGGTATTCTAGAGTTATGATGCAAGCCATACAGTCCAATGGCTTGAAGAGTCAACAGCCCCAACCACTTACGCTTTTCAGGAGTCCATGTCCTACACACTAGTAATCCTGTCCTCAGTTCATCTAACTTTGGACCTTCACCACCAGGCACATTCAATTCACTGAAGAACGCTTTGTAGTCAGCTTTAGGTTCAAACTTTTCTGTAGGGATTGAACCTGTGTTTAACCCCGTGATATGACCAAATTCGTTCAAGCCAAACCTGATAGGTTGACCACCAACTAGAAACCAAATCTCCTTCTTGTGTATTCTTAACTGTCTACACAGTAGAAAATGTACAGTCTTACCAGACCACATGAATTGGCTTTCAGCTAGCTTAGCAATTATTCCAATAGGTGACCCCTTCAGTTCATTCCACGCTTTTTGTCCTATTGATTCTATAATCACAGGGACATCTACCATCTTGATATTGTGATTTAACAATTTATTCTCCAGAATAGACTCCCCTTCTGCGTAAAGTCTTGGAGGGTAATCCCTTGGTTGTTCTTCAGAAATAACCTTAGCCATCTGATAAACCATAAATCAGCCGTAAGCATACAGTAACTCAGTCACAACATAAAACAAACTCAGCCACAGTTGAGCAGATAAACCATAACTCAGTCGTAAGCATAGAGTAACTCAGCCACAACGTAAAACAAACTCAGCCACACCATAAAACAAACTCAGCCATAGATGCATTGATAAATCATAAATCAGTCTAAAGCAAACAATAACTCAGCCATGGAATCGAATAGATATAACAAATTAGCCACCATATGAAAATCAACGTTGGCGAAAATCATCTGTAATAAGCGTCGATAAAAACCCTCAATTTCTTCGCGATAGTTTTCGGAAAACGGTTTCAATCACGGAAATCACTCGCTATTGAACTTAGATGCGGGAAAAATGTCGGAAAATCCAAAATAAAGATTCGACACATACCTTAAACAAGTTGAGTTGAGACGAAATGGTCCCGACTTGAGGTGAGGCGACGAAGTAAAAGGTCCTGACTTGAGTAGAGACGAAATGCGACGGAGAGAACGAGAGATTTAAGAGTTTCGGCCGGAATTAGGGTTTCTTAGTCTTAGTCGGAATCGCGTTTCCGTCGGAGAAAGAAAAAGTTTTTTACAGTTTTTTTTTTTCGGAGATGAACAGTGACAGAGAGGGAAATCGAAAGGGTTCTCTTAATGACGTTAATGACGTGGCTTTAATTTGTTTTTCTTTTAATGACGTGGATTAACATAATTTTCGTTAATCATTTCTTAATTAAAAATGGATTAAAAAAATCTTTATAAAAAAAAACTAATCAAGGGTGTTAATTGTAATTACACAAAGACGCTAAACATATGAGTAATTTTTAAAAAATGTATGATATTCTAGTAATATTCGAACTTTTGGTTAACATCTGAGTAAATAACACTTTAGATATTTGATAATATAGCGTTTTTTGATATGCAATATATAAATAAACAATAGCGATAATTATTTGCTATAATATTTTTAATTATTTGTAAATATATATATATATATATATATATATATATATATATATAGAGAATTTTGTAATACGTAGATGTTTTGTATTTATATGGTATTTGTGTATTTATAAAATATTGTATTTATACAGTATTTATACAAATCATTTACATTATTTCGTTTTTATTAATTTCTAATTATATTTAATTCATATTTTATTAGGTCTTTTTGGATAAATTGACATTAAAAATATCATTTTTATATGAATTCATAATACAAAATATTATATTACAAAGTAAAAATACAAAATTAAAAAATAAAAAGTACATATAGTAACTGCATTTATCAAATCCAAAACAATTCAAATCTAAATCCCATTAAGGTCTAGAAACATTGAATATTAACATCCTACTCTCATCAATTTCACCACGTATATCTCGAACTTGATTATGAGAGTTGTTCTTCCATTCGCCTTCTTCAAATCACCATCCCTTCTTTAAAAAAAATGTTGCTACTTTTACAGAATCGTCTTCTCTAATCTAACACCCGAGCACGATCCATCAAGTTGTGTCAACACAGTTCCTTCAATCCAACCTCCCATCACGCTGGTCGCCTTCTTCCTCCTCTCAAAAGGTAATTCCAGTTACCCAAATCGTAAAAGTTGATTGTCTTTCTCTCTTTTTTGATTTTTATCTATTCAGTTGCAGGTACTTCTATCTCTGCTTGCAACATGAAACTTGATTTTACACCGATTGCTCAACTAGAGTCTGTGACTGAGAATGAAATTTGGAAAATTAAAGCATGAGTTGACCGTTTTTGGCTATTCCAAAATAATGATAAGCCTGGAGATTCTGATGTACTTGATTTAGTACTTGTGGATGATAAGGTGGAAAACAAAATTCAAATATATGTTTATTTGATTTAGATATTTTTGTACTTTTGTAATCCAATTTTTTCTCTTTTAATGACAGGGAGACCGTATACAAGCATGCATCAGAGGAAAATTAATTCAAAAGTTCGAATAAGATCTTCAAGAAGGAGAATGTCGTATACTGATGAATTTTAAGTTGTCTCCTAATTTTGGGAGTTACAGGGCAACTGGACACTCTTTCAAAATCTTTCTCACTTGGTCAACAATTGTGAAGCCTTGTGAGGAAATCCCAAACCAATCACTTCGTTTCAGTTTCATCCCTTTTGATAAGCTTCAGAGACATGACGAAAACCCTTGGTACGTGTTGGTGAAATCGTTGGAATGAATGATCTTAAGGAAATTACTGTTCGCAATGCTCCATCTAAATTGCTGAATGTTCAACTCAAGAGCCTTGAGTTAGTAACTTCCAACTTGGTAGTCATTATTATTAATCTATTATGTCTCTCTTTTCAAAATCGTGTTCTTATATATGCAGTGATTCAATAATTGATTGTGTATTTTGGGGATTGTGGCATAGTGAACATTACCGAAATCAGATTTGGGGATTGAAACGAACGTCTTTAGATATCACCGGCCAGACATCGAGCTGCACCCAGATTTACTTACATCTTTCATCTTTTCGTGATGATATGTGTCGAACGAACGAAATCGAATTTTTTTTCTCAGAAATCGAACTGCAACTATATCACTTTTTGTTTCCTGAGACTCTCATCGAAATCGAGCTACACTTAGATCAATTTTTTTTTCTGAGAACGCCGACGAAATTTTGATTTTGAGATGAGAGAGACCAAAGGACCGATGCTGGAAAGTAAAACTTACTTTTCTTTATTTTTTTAATGAAACGAAAATAATTCTATGGTGACGACCAAAAAAAAAATAATTCTTTGGTCATGCGTTCACATTATGTAACTCTTATGAGTTATGACACTCTCTATTTAATTTAATAAATTTTGACTTTTATTAAAATCACACGTTAAGGTGTATCGTTTGTGCTATAGTGTTTGTAATGTTTTCTCCCTTCATCTTTTTCTACGTTTAATTATCATAATTTCTAGATTTTTAATTAATTGAAATACATTACATATTATGAAGTCCGGGCCAAAATATTAGTATATATATATATATATATATATATATATTTGTATTTTTTACATTATATATTCGTTGTTTTAATTCTGTAATTAGATTTCAAATGAGTCAATTAGCTGTATGCTAATTATTTGAGAAATAATTAGCTTGTACATACACAACTTTTATTTTTTGCAAAACAAGAGATAGAAATCTTTGGTTTTGAAAAAATCGGACGAATTTACCCCTGGAATAAGACACATGTGTATTTCCCGATATATCACTATATATCATGATATATAATCAAAAAGAGAATGGTTAGAAAAACCAGAAACTGATGTTGGATCATAAAAAACCAATCAATCTCTATGACGACTCTGCAAAGAATCCTCCAAATCAAGATCAACACCAACACGATTCAAGACATTATCTTCCACTTATTCTCAAGTTCCTTAAATCTCTCAACATCAAACTTATGACTCTTAAGCAACCTCCTCTGTCTAGAAAGAAACAACCTTTTCATGAAATCTTGATATGTTGGGTCTCTTGAAGTCATCAAGAAATAAGCATAACCCACAATAATCCCAGTAGCTGTAGTGAAAAACGTTATTTGTTCTTAGCGTCGTCGGTTGACGGTGTCTCAAATCATCTCTAACAGAAGCTCAATAATAACGAACGACACCCAAACATACGACGTCTCTATATCAAATTTTTTTTTAAGGTTTATTGAGTTCATTTTAATCAGAAAAATGCGACGAGTTTAATGAATTCAAAATATCATAATTTTAGATGCAATCAGTTTCACAATTAAGAAGAATCATTTGTTTGGGGTTATCATAAAGTAAAGAAAAAAGAAAAAGAAAAAAATAAATATTAAAAGTAAAGAGAAACAAAGAAGGAAGGAAAGAAGAATGAAGTGTTTGATTTTAGGGGTATTTTAGTCTTTTTATCATGTTTTCAGTTGATCATTTATTTACAGGTTTGCCACTTTTCCTTTGACTTAAATACTTTTCAGTCTTAGGGTATGTAGTGTAATTACTAATTTCAAATTCTACGCCCTAAATCAAAAACACACTAAATTTCCTTACTATTTTGTGTTTTGTAGTAGTTTAATTATTTTCTAATCTATTTTACGTTCTTACTAATTTTCATCAGTTTTATTTATTCACTTTTAAAATTACTCATACATATTGTGATATGATCATTTACTATACATGCATTTAGATTTGTGGACACGAGTTCACATATATAAACATAGATACACATAATTTCTCTCTAATCTTCTTCCTTCTTATTGTTTTTCTGGTCGAATGTCTTTTGTATCCATCAGCTTTATACCATATGCTTGCAATATATTCAAAGTTGTACGTACCACCACATATCCCAAACACAACAAATCATCATCATCCTTTTCATCTGCAAACACATCACAGTTTTTTTTTATGTGGAATTCAAAGATACATGGCAAATAGACCTCTGGTTCAAGAGGCCTTAAGACTCCTCTTGGCTTGATCTTGTCTTCAATTAACAGCTGCAACACCCAACATCTGAATCATAAGCTTAAAATTTGTAACTTAGAGAAGTAAAGACAGGAAAAAGTAATAAGGACCAGAGCTCCAATGGCTGCATGGATCCCGACAGTCTTGGCCATAGCGGTCCTTGCTTGTCCGTTCTAGACGTCCCCGAATTCCAAAAGAGTCGCACTGGGTTTCTCTGTACATTTGCTTTTAGGGAGTTCCACCTCTAATTTGTGATGTAGAAGCACCATGTCCTGAAAACATAAGGTAAAAGATTGTCCAAATTTTATGTCAGAAGTAACATCAAGTGCAAGAGAGAGAAAACCAATGGTAGCAACGAAAGACTAGAAACATAGACCTGCTCATTTTCGGAATACATTGACGAACCACAAAACTCGGTGTTCTCTTCTATGCGAATTCAAGCATAACATCATCCTTAACCTAAATTTCATTGTGATATAAGAGCTCAAAAATTTCCTTGGAGATTGCAAGGAGAACCTCAAGATTATAAATGAACTAAGATAGGTGATATCTCTTAAAACTTAAATTTGGATACGAGGTTAAAATTTAGAAATACCTTTAAAGGACACTAGCTCTCAAACACATGCCTTGTCCATATCATAACAATACAACCAAAGCTCCACCGAGTATACACTTTGTGATAAAGAGTTCAAAGGATCAGACACTCAAATTACAATGACTGTCGACTCACATCAACACACGAGCAAGAAAGTAAACAAATAAGAAAATAACAGCTTACAATGTAGAAACAAGCGGCAGTAGCAATAAAATTGTAGATTTGAAGACTTATCTAAAAAAGAAATCGACAAACCCTTATAATCGAAATCCCAAATTGATTATTAACCAAACTTAAAATCAAACTTAAAATCAAACTTAAAATCGAAATCCCACATACCTGTTAGTTCTTCTAAGCACGAAATTCAACTGCAAGAACAGTCAAACACATATCAATTAGAAACCGATAACACTGAATAAACCAACTATTTACCAAAACCATAAAATCGAAATCCCAAATTGAACTCGAATACCTTTATCTGAAGTCTCACCGACCTCTGACTGCTAAACAAAAAAAAACTCGATGGATTAATACTAAATTAGAACCTTAAATCTGTTCAAATAACCAAAAACCCAAACACAATTTCACCTTCAATGTCAAATTTGACCATACCACTTCGATTTACCAATGTAGATGACGATGATTAATAGGGAACGAAACTGCGAGAAGGATATCAAGACAGATATCGAAAACAAGACTGAGATTGAGAGGGAACGAAATGGAGACCGATAGAGATTGAGATTGAAAGTAAGATGAACGGGACTGTGATTGAGAGATCAAGATAGAGATGGAGGAAGGAGTCTGAGTGAGAGATAGAAACAGAGATCAGCTTGTGTGTTGCGTGAAAGAAGAAGTGAAAGAGATGGGTAGGCCTAGGCAAAAAAACCGTACCCGAGTATCCGAACCGAAACCGACCCGAAAAAACCGGTTCGGGGCGGGTACGGATATTAGCTATTTACCCTATTGGGTCTTGTATTGTCGTATCCGTGGGTATAGGATAAAACCCGATCCGAACCCGATACCCGAACGGGTACCCGATTACCCAAAATTACTTATACTTTTTTTTTTTTTTTTTTGATCAAAGGGAAATTTCATTCAATTGGGACATTAGGGTTCATTACAAGCACCAAGAACCTCTTTGGCCAGGGCATCTGCCTGACGATTAAGGTTTCGTGGGGTGAAATTAAAAGAGCAAAACGCAAAAATTGACGATAGAGACAGGATGTCGTGGAGAATCCCGTGGAGTTCCTTGTGTGGGAGCTCCGAATTGATTGCTTTGACAAGGTTCAACGAGTCTGAAGCAAAATAAACATTGGTGAAAGCTGATTCAATTGCAACTTTAACCGCAGCAAGAGTTGCAAGGGCTTCGGCTACCAGTGGAGATCTGACATGAGATACAGCGAGAGATCCAGCTAGAACAACATGGTCTTGTTGGGTCTTCACGATCCAGCCAAGGCCAGCCTTTCCATCCTCCTTCCAAGCTGCGTCAGAGTAAATTCTCAGAGTGAGATCATCGACTAAGGTCTGTGTGGGTACTCGTGGAGGGCTTGATTTAATGGGGATCGATCTTTGTGATGCTTGCCATTCCCTTGCACGGACAATTCCGATGGTCATCGCTTCCGTGGCAGGGATAACTTTCTTGCTAAAAAGTAATTGGTTCCTTGTTGTCCAAATTGACCAGAGAATCCACGGCGATAAAGGTCCTTCTCCAATCCCCGAAGGTGGGAGGCAAATCAGCTTATTGACCATTGATATACCTTCTCTTGTAGAAGAGATGGAGCCTGTATTTAGGCGGGAGCTGAAAGGGGCTAAACTCCAGATTTGATTAGCCATAGGGCAATGGAAGAAGAGGTGTAGGGTGGTTTCAGTTTCGCCACAGTGAGGTCCTTCTCCAATCCCCGAAGGTGTAATATTTATACTTATACTTATACATATAAAAACTTTATATATATATGTAATATTTGAGCTAAATACATTTATATCCAAATATCTGAGAGTAATTACCAAAAATTAAATGCACTTATATTTATATATTTAAGACTAAATATATTTATACGCGAGATGCTTGTAAATTTTTTAATTATTTGGACAAAATTCCGGTTATTCGGATAAATTTTTGGGTGAAACTTGGATATTTGAGTAAAATTGCGGATAAAATTCGGATATTAGAGTAAAATTTCGGGTAAAATTCGGGTATTTGGTAAAATTTTGGGTATTTGGGTATAAAATACCCGAACCCGATGGGTGCCCGATTTTTTCGGGTATTTAGCGGTTCTAAAAATCTAAACCCGAACCGACCCGAACCCGATTAGACCCGAACCGAAACCGAACCGATATTTTAGATTTACCCTATTGGGTCCTAAACTCCTCTACCCGAAAGACCCGTACCCGATCGGGTTTTACCCGAACCCGACCCGCATACCCGAATGCCCACCCCTAGATGGAGGTGTCGAATGGGGGAGAAAGAGATATAGACGTGAAACCTAATTTTTGACCAAAAAATTTTTATTTTATTTTTATTCTTTTACTAAGTAAAATTTTAGAGCCAAAATTTTCAGTTTTCCGGTTATCCTTACGATAACATTTTCATTGTTATATATGCTATCGTAGAACCAAAAACTAAGCACTAATACAGAATGTTTTCGTGCCTATTCTACCATAGCGTTTGTCTTTTCGAAAACGCTATAAAAATTTTCTTAAAACTCAACCATAGCAAAAACATTTAAAACGCTATACAGTACTGCTATTAATACCTCCATGATTGGAATAATATTTTTATTTTTATGATATAGCCGGACTCGTGTTTAGCGAGCTGCCTACGTACCCTAAAATAGGATCAAGCCAAATCGTAGTTCGATTGTGTTTGCTTTAGCAATAGAACTTTTTCAAGTTGATGATGTTCCAAGGCCTCTGAACGGGGTTTCCGTAAAGGTCTTGTAAACGGTAAACACCATTTCGGATTTTTTCTGTGATTTGATAAGGACCTTCCCAGTTAATACCGAGTTTTCCAGCTCCTTCTTCTTTTGTGTTATCTAACACTCGTCTTAAAACAAAGTCTCCTACATTTAAAGGTCTGTTTTTCAACTTTGAGTTATAGTATCGAGCGGTCAATTGCTGATAGTTTTGAAGTCGAATAAGGGATTGATCTAGCCTTTCATCGATTGTATCAAGAATGTCTTCTAATAATTTAGAATTTAGTTCTTCGTTAAGAGGAGCTTCGCTCCGGCGTAAACCAGGAACATTCAGTTCGGCTGGGACTACAACTTCCATTCCATATATTAATGAGAATGGAGTTTCTCCCGTTGCTCATCTCGGGGTTGTTCGATATGCCCATAACACAGGTTGCAGCTCGTCATACCAACCACCTTTCCGAGCATTCAAACGCTTTTTAAGATTGCTGAGAATGGTTTTATTGGAAGCTTCGGCTTGCCCATTTCCTTGAGGATACCTTGACGTTGAATAGCTAAGTTTTATTCCCCAAGCGGAACAAAAATCTTCAAATTCATTTGAAATGAATTGAGGACCGTTGTCCGTTACTATTTCGTAAGGAACTCCATGGCGACAAATAATGTGTTTCCACAAGAATGTTTTTACTATAGAATCTTGTATATTTACGTAGGCTTCTGCTTCGATCCATTTGGAAAAATAGTCCATTAGAACTAAAAAGTATTGGACGCCTCGCGTTGAGCGATGCATCGGACCAACTATATCCATTGACCACCTCATGAAAGGGTATGGAGCGGATATGGATGATAAAATTTCAGATGGCTGGTGAATAAGAGGAGCGTGCATCTGACACTTTTTACACCGTTTGGCGTACTCGATGCAATCAGAAATCCTAGTTGGCCAGAAATATCCTAACCGTTTGATTTTGAAAGCCTTTGCTCGTCCCGAAGAATGACTACCACAAAGCCCTTCGTGGACCTCGCTTGTTACTATTTCAACCTCGGGTCCCAAAATACATAAAAGATAAGGATCACTGACGCCTCGCTTGTACAACGATTCTTTAATTATACAATACTTAGCGCTGATGATTTTTAATTTGCGAGCTTGCCATTTGTTCGATGGTAGTTCTCCACTAAGAATGAAATTTTTGATGGGTACCCTCCAGTCAGCCCCCCAATCTTTAGCGGAAGTATTATCCTTGAGTATAAACTTCCTTGGTTCGGGTTCGGGAAGAATATCAGGATCTTCGATTGTTTCCCGAACTTCTTCATCACCCGGAGGTGTCTGTTCCGTTCGAGACAGTTCTTTAGTGGGAACCTCTTGATCCTTCAACTTTCTTCTTGGCTTTCTTTTAGGAAGTTCCAGCGAAGTAAGTTCATCATCCTGAGATTTTACTCGTGATCTGGTGACGACAAACAAACTATTTTCATTTCCGGAACTTAATTTTGGAGTTTCGATATGCTCGGCCTCCAAAATGTTATCGTTTTCTGTTCTTCAACCGAAATACTTCGCGAAGAAATACATTCAACAAAGATAACTCGTTTGAGCTCAGGATCCGAGGTAGAGGCTAGGGCAGCTAAAGCGTCTGCCGAAGTGTTTTCTCCTCGAGGTATTCGAACTAATTCGAACTCTTTGAATTTTCCGGCTAATTTTTTGACAGCCGAAAGATAGGCTTCCATTCGAGGAGCCTTAGCTTCGTATTCTCCAGCGAACTGGTTTACAACTAGCTGAGAATCACAATAAGCTATTATTTTTTCTGCTCCAATTGCAAGAGCAAGCCGAAGTCCTGCTAAGAGAGCTTCGTATTCTGCTTCATTGTTCGAAGCTGGAAACATTAATCGAAATGATTGTTCGATTATTTCTTTTGTCGGAGTTTCGAGCCTAATACCGATTTCGGACCCTTGTTTAGAAGAAGAGCCATATACATGTAATTTCCATGTAGAGTTTGTTTCAATAAGGATTCCGTCATCCGGTGGCAGTTCGGTCAGAAAATCAGCCAGAACTTGTGCCTTTGCGCTAGTTCGAATTTTGTATTCTATATCGTACTCACTGAGTTCGATTGCCCATTTCGCCAATCTACCGGACTGACTTGGTCCGTGGAGAATTGAGCGAAGCGGATGGGAAGTCAGAACTTCTATCGGATGAGATTGGAAATAAGGTCTTAGTTTTCTAGCATATATGACTACTGCTAAAGCTAATTTTTCCATCATGGTATATCTCGTTTCCGGAGGTAAGAGATTTACTTATGTAGAAAATCGGCTTCTGATCACCTCGATCTTCTCGGACTAAAACTCCACTTACAGAATGATTAGAAACCGAGACATAAAAATAAAGTTTCTCATCTGATTCATGTTTTGAGAGAACCGGTGGTGTTGTCAAATAAGTTTTGAGTTGATGGAAAGCTGCTTCGCATTGATCATCCCACCGAAACTTTTTGTTCCCTTTTAAAATCTGATAAAAAGAGAGACATTTATCGGTGGATTTCGAGATGAAACGATTCAACGCGGCAATTCTGCCCGTCAATCGCTGGACCTCTTTAATGTTTTTTGGTGAAGGCATTGTGAGGAAAGCGTTAATCTGATTAGGATTTGCTTCTATTCCTCTTTCCGTGACTATGTAACCTAGGAATTCTCTGGAAGGCACACCAAAAGAACATTTAGCAGGATTTGATTTCATTCCGAATTCATTCAGAATTTTGAAACATTGCTCAAGATGTGTTATGTGCTCGGATTTCTTAAGAGATTTTACGAGCATAACATCGATATAAACTTCCATCGTTTTGCCCAAATGTTTTGAAAACATTTTGTTAACTAGACGTTGGTATGTTGCCCCGGCATTTTTTAGACCGAATGGCATAACTTTATAACAGTAGATTCCTCTATCTGTTATGAAAGATGTTTTCTCTTCATCTTCGGGATTCATCATGATCTGATTATACCCAGAAAATGCATCCATGAATGTCAATAGTTCATTTCCGGCTGTTGACTCTACGAGCCGATCGATATGAGGGAGAGGAAAACTGTCTTTTGGACACGCTTTGTTAATGTCAGTGAAATCGACACATACTCTCCACTTTCCATTTTTCTTTTTGACTATCACGGGGTTTGCTAACCAGTCCGGGTATTTTACTTCTCTAATCGAACCAATATTCAAAAGCTTATCAACTTCGTCATTGACCGCTTGAGCTCGGTCATGACCCAGTTTTCTTCTTTTTTGCTTTATTGGTTTAAAATTGGGATCGACATTTAAGTCATGGGTAATGATACTTTTGTCGATGCCAGGCATATCCTTGGCCGACCAGGCAAAAGTATGTTTATTTTCTTTTAAAAATGTTACCAATTGATCTTTGATTTCTGAATCCAAAGTAGTACCGATTTTTACTTTTCGATCTGGAAATTCGGAATCAATTTCAATTTCCGTGGTAACCTCATTCGAACTGAGACCACTTGGGTAACGCGAGGTGCTTTCTTGCTTAGCATTTATCATTAATTGTTATTTGAGCTTTAAACGATGTCCCATGAGGTAGCAAGATCGCAACGTTTCCTTATCTCCTCGAATGGTTCCAATTCCACTAGGAGTCGGAAATTTCACACATTGGTGATAAGTTGAAGGTATAGCCTTCATTTGGTATATCCACGGAGTTCCGAGAATTATGTTATAAGCGGCCGGACGGTCGAAAACAATAAATTCTACGATTTTTGGAACCCTTGCTGCGAGCACTGGTAGTTTTATGTTTCCTAAGGACATAGATGTGTCGCTCGTGAAAGCTATTAACGGTGCCGGTGGACCGATAATGTCAGCTTTACTGATTCCCATTCTCTGCAAAGTGCTTAGATCTACCGAGCTTCCAGTATCAATTAGACACCTTGTCACTTCGAAGTTCGCAACATCTAAAGTTATCACAAGAGCATCATCATGAGGCCTAGCTAATCCTTGAGTGTCCGAATCGTCAAAGGAGATAGAAGGTATTTGTTCATTTGATTGAAAACCCACATCGGTTTGAATTGAATTGCTGCTGATTTCTTGTGCCTCTTGATCGATCTGATCGAATCTCGGCATAATTTGGACCCTCCCATTATAACATCGATCCTTTTCTTAGGAGTGTTCGGAGTTCCGGGCCCATTGGGCTTATGTTTCTTTTCAGGAGGATTAGAAGCTTCGGAATCTTCTTTTTCTTTGTGGTATGATTCCACAAATTCCTCGACATTGAAATTAGCGAGCTCTCAAGCTGCCCACAGTTCGGTGAGGTGCTTTTTGAGTACGCTCCAATCTTTGGTGGAGTGCCCGTTTACTTTGTGAATATCGCAATAGGCACTTTCGTCTCTAACCCAAGTATTAGGAGGATTGTATCTTCCTTTGCTTGGGGAGGGTTTTCCTACAGCATTGGTAGAAGGATTAACTCCGAACCGTTTTTGATCTTTTGGTTCGAACTTTTCAGTTGGATTCGCCACGGCTAATTTAGCTGGTCGATGCTGTTTAGCGAGGCTAAGCTTTTCTTCTTCTGCCTCCATCCAATTAGTAGCTCTGAATAAAGCATCTTGGATGGTACTTGGACGGTTGACGATAATTTCTTCTCAAAATCGGGATTAATGCCAGAGTCCGTTCTTTAAAGCAGAAAGGGCAGCAGCGTGTGATACCCTAGGAATTTTGGCTATCACTTCTTTGAACTTAGCGATATATTTGCGAAGTGGTTCATTCTGACCTTGGGTTAAATTACAAAGATCTGCATCAGAAGTTGCCTTTTCCATGAACATGGAATATTGTTTTAGGAATGCAGAGGACAATTCCTTAAAACTATCGATAGTTTCTGGTTCTAACTGGGTGAACCATAACAGAGCCGATCCGGAAAGATTTTCAGAAAATAGTTTGCAAAATCCGGCATCTTCCTCGCCTGGTTCTAGATCAATTCTGTCTGCAGCGATCTGAAAAGCAGCGAGGTGATTTTTAGGATCTCCTTTACCGTCATAAGTTGGTAACTTAACCTTCCGAGAATCTTTGATTCGAAGGTTCGAGATTCTAGAGGTAAAGGGAGTTCGACGAGTTTCTTCGATTACTCGATCGATCTCAGGCGCCGAACTGGTCGCCTGATGAAATTTCGATTTCATTTCATTAAGCTCTTGGCGAACTTTGATGAAATCGTCTGATAGGGTGACATCAGGATCTTCTATAAAAAAATCCGTCGTCAACAGGAAGATTTCCCTGACCCTGGGGAATTTCTTCCCCGGTTGGGTTAGTCGCATCTCTTGCGGCTACCGGATTGCTAGTACTAGCAGGCTGGCCTGTTTAAGGAGTTCGAGTAATCCCAGGTGTCGCGAATAACCTGCGCTGATGCATTGATGTTCGCGTTGAGGACAAATTATCTAAACGGCTTGAAACAATGTTCTGCGCGTTTGACAAATTCGTTTGGGTGGTTTGAACACTTGTTAAGGTTTGCTCGATTGAGTTCAACCTTTCACCAAAAGTGGTGTTGGCAGTAACAAGTGTACCCATCTGATTGGTTAGATCGGTGGTTGTTTGAGTAAGCAAGGCAATTGCATCGCTCAATGCTTGCTGATCAGCCAAAATTTCTTGGTTGGGAAAGAAAGATTTTGAGATTAAAGAGTTTTGCGGTAACTCCCCACAGGCGGCGCCAAAATATGGATGTAGGATTCACACTCGATTATCTTTAAGTATTTTTGTGGAGAAAAACTCTTGTTAAATCAGGAAATAAATATGAGAATTTGAAAAGGAAAACAACCAAGAAAAGGAGTAAAGAAATTTGACGAAAGATGAAGTGCAAAATGCCTTGCGAAAAATAGTAAAGAGAGAAAAATGTATTGTATTGTTTAGAAGTAATCAGTAATGAGATTCGTCCCCCTCAAACACATGCGTTTGAGGTTGTTTTTATAGAGAAAACATGATCAATGCGGTCATTTACTGCTCATAATCGCGTTGATCCGCATTAATCATGTATGTTACATTTTGACCGAAACGGCTTGAATTTGAACTATCTTGGGCTTCGCGTGGATCTTCCGAACTCTCTCTTGTTGACTCTGAACTCCCGCGTCTTGACGCTACCGCGACCCTCGAACAATATTCTCCTCGCTTCGGCCTTTCTCTATGCGAACTGTATGTTGAATAAGAGCGAACTCCGTACTGGTAAAGATCGAACTCTTTTAGTAAACTGAATCGAACTCCCGACTGGTTAAGCTCGATTCTCATAACAAAATATCTTTAATTCCAAGAGGATTATTATGTAATAATGACGTGGACAGATCCAAGTGGATCCTACCAAAAATGTGTGGGATCCGACCCCAACAAGAACTACTAGCAGTTGACCGCTCGATACTATAACTCAAAGTTGAAAAACAGACCTTTAGATGTAGGAGACTTTATTTTAAGGCGAGTGTTCGGTAACACAGAAGAAGAAGGAGCTGGAAAACTCGGTATTAACTGGGAAGGCCCTTATCAAATCACAGAAAAAATCCGAAATGTTGTATACCGTTTAAAAGACCTTGACGGAAATCCTGTTCAAAGGTCTTGGAACATCATCAACTTGAAAAAGTTCTATTGCTAAAAATAAACATATTCGTACTACGATTTGGTTTGATCCTATTTTGGGTACGTAGGCAGCTCGTTAAACATGAGTCCAGCTAAAAAAATAAAAATATTATTTCAATCATGGAATCTTGTTTTTATAAGCTCGATCATCAAGCATAAATATTAAAATACGTTGCGAACAATGTATAAAGAAATATTTCACGCTAAGCAAAAACCAGATCTAGAAGGGTCTCAGATTACGGAATAGCTCTGCTCCTTGGCCTGCGAGGTCGACAATGCTCAGAATGCAACCCGACATGTTTCCGTACTCTTAGAGGCCTATCTCAATCCAATCGGAAGGGTGGGCTTCGAGGCGATGAAGTTTGCGAGCAATATCGAGGCGACGCTTCTCAAGTTCCATTCTTCTTTTCCTAATCTCAATTTTCTCACCTTCGAGCTCGTTGTGCCGAGTGATAAGCTGAAGAAAATAAAACGCTTCATTTAGCAATAACAAAAGGAGTCAAATCACTAGGTTGAACAATACCTTGGTAATAAACTCTTCAACCTTGACACGATCTTGAGCTGATAATCTCTCGATTAACACAATCGGAACCTGAATGCTGGTTCCCCACCCTAATGTACGTGACTCTTCTGGTTCGCCAGTTGCTTCCGTTTTTACAAGCTCGATGTTTGACGTTCCCGAAAGATCATCGCTTATCATTTTGAATGAGTCGGAGGGATTCTCTGAAGAATTACCTTCCTCGAATATTTTTGTAGAAGTATTGTTGATAAAACTCAATAATGAACTACACCTACTTTATACTCGAAATATACTCAATCACATTTAAGAGGGTCAATTGACGATTTCCCAAAATCTGAAATTACTACCTTCATAGAAAATGTAATCGAGTTAATTGCTAATTATATTCCCTAAATTAACGCATTAAATAAGATTGAAATAAATCGACAAATTTAAAGCAAAAGCGGAAATATAATTAATGTCACTGGGCCGCTAGCCCAATAGAATGTTATAAACAAAAATAAATCAAAGGAATTGTTCGATCAAAAGTCCTCGCCCGATAACGATTCCAGCGAGGTGGATGATCCCGAACAGCTTTCTGAGGATAATCCCTCGTCAGAAGATAAATCGAGGAGACCAGAGGAATGATCGATAGATTTTGCCTCCGATTCTTCATTTTCTTCAGTTTTTAACATCGGAAATCTCCGAAACTCTAAAAAACATCAAACAAAAGAGGATCTGTCGCCGGTTGCAAAGGATAGATGAGATAATTTGTCCAGCACGCGGAGGAATCATCGAAGACAAGAAGGAATGATAGCCACGATATCTAAACCCTTCCTCTCCCATCCATGCGGTTCAGATTCAAGGCGATGGATCTAACTTTCCATCCTCCTTATACGCTCATCGAGAGCACGGCGCCTCCTTCCGATTCTTTGTCTCTTGTCACATAAAGCTTTATGCCTCCCGATGATCTGTTTGAACAAACATTTTGTCAACCATCTGAAAAAGAATATAAAGTGTTTTGAAAAGACTAAAAATTAGAAAGAAAGCCTTTTCCAAGAAGTCATAACATTTGACCCTTTCTTGCCCTATCCGGAAATGGAAAAATGTAGGGTGAATAACTCCCTTTGGAGAAAATCCATCTTCGGATTCAAACAATAGACCCCCATTCGAGGATGTTATTCTTAAACTGGATCTGAAAGAGGATAGCGGCATAGTCCAGTTTCTCTTACAATAAACTATGACAGTCCTTCCGAATTCTTTTAAAGGATAAAATTATTCGGACTCTTCAAAAAATGTAACAGATTTCAAGTCTAATTAAAACGTGGCCCAACACGCTTAAAGCCATTTTTAGGCTATGATCAAAACCATCGCCTAGTCATCTTTATGGCAAAAATTCTCATGAATTATAAAAGTCTTATCCCTCGATAAGAAGCTTAAGCCGAGCTCCATCTTCGCTTCCGAGAGACCGAAGAAAAATACTTTTTAAGGTTTTTTCTTTAAAAAAGGCAAGTGAGCATGATAAGCTCATCTCTCACAATTCATAAAACCTCTTTGGTGGGTTAGGACTTGCAAACCTCGAATCGCATCCAAACGTTTTACTTAAATAAAAAAAATCATATGCAAGTGCATGTACTCGATTTTGTTCCAACACACTAAGTAAACAAAACATTTCCGTCAAACGGAGTTGTTCTCATGAACTCAATAAAACAATTCTTTAAGAGCGTTCATCTACCTCAGGAGAACCCTCATTTTGTCGAGAACCTTCACCTATCTCGAATTGAGAGGAGGATTCTCCAAATACCAAAGAAAATTGTTTCAGATCAAGAGTGGGTCGGGAAGCCGAGGATAACTCGGATTCAACTACGGCGAGTTCGGCAGTAACTTCCCTCCTCTCGTTCTCGAACGAAACTCTTCCATTCTCTAGATCTCCAATCAGGTCTAAGTTACTCTTCAGCTTGGCTGATCGGTTTGAAGTTTAGTCCAGACCTCTTCATCTTTGATAAACTTCACGATAGACTGAATAAGCTGCCTACCAAAGCTCCTTATCTCTTATCGAGCGTTATGCTCGGCTTCGGCGATCTCGCGAGCTCTGGTCTTAACTAAAAAGTCGGCCTTGTGGCTCGCTTCTTCGGACAAAGCCGTGGCCTCTTCTAACTCAGCCTTCAAGCGAAGAGCGCCGGACCTCGCAGAATCCCTTTCAGCATTCGCAATTCTGAGGCGTTGCTCGTTAGCCGCCAAAGTCTTCTTCATATCTTCAAAAGACGATTCGAATGTTTTCGCCTGTTCAAGTCGGTCAGGCTGATTGATAGATTTAATTTTGTCAATCTCCTTCTTAGCCTTTGCGGTTTCCTTCGCTGCTTGGTGAAGAATATTCTCATAATGGAAGATCATTCCATTAGTCTCCATTAACGCCTTCAAAGTAAAATGTCATTCATATAAAAATTTACTTAACAAGGAAGTTCTATTCTAGTAAAAACCTAAAGTTTTGAACCTGAGACAGGTAGCAAGCTCGATTGATGTACATCTGACGGATGTTCGGCCTCTGTGGATGTAGGATTCACACTCGATTATCTTTAAGTATTTTTGTGGAGAAAAACTCTTGTTAAATTAGGAAGTAAATACGATAATTTGAAAATGGAAAACAACCAAGAAAAGGAGTAAAGAAATTTGTAGAAAGATGAAGTACAAAATGCCTTGCGAAAAATAGTAAAGAGAAAAAAGTATTGTATTGCTTAGAAGTAATGAATAATCAGATTCCCTTTCCAAACACATGCGTTTGAGGTTGTTTTTATAGAGAAAACATGATCAATGCGGTCATTTACTACTCATAATTGCATTGATCCGCATTAATCATGTAAGTTACATTTTGACCGAAACGGCTTGAATTTGAACTACCTTTGGGCTTCGCGTGGATCTTCCGAACTCTTTCTTGTTGACTCCGAACTCCTGCGTCTTGACGCTGCCGCGAGCCTCGAACAACATTCTCCTCGCTTTGGCCTTTCTCTATGCGAACTGTATGTTGAAATAAGAGCGAACTCCGTATTGGTAAAGATCAAACTCTTTTTATAAACTGAATCGAACTCCCGACTGGTTAAGCTCGATTCTCATAATAAAATATCTTTAATTCCAAGAGGATTATTATGTAATAATGACGTGGACAGATCCAAGTGGATCCTACCAAAAATGTGTGGGATCCGACCCCAACATTTAGCCCCCCAAGTCTTGCGAGCTGAGTGCTCGGCTTGGAAGACTTAAGTAAATAGTAATTAATGACTCGAGATCTTTAACATTCCGGAATTAAATAGTAATTAATGACGCTATTACGCCGATCTCGGATAATCAAACGATTTGATATCCCTGACAACCGTCATCATTAATTTTCTAATTTTATATTAATACTGCGGGAAAAACTGTCCCACTTCCCAATACTCTCGAGGCGGTCTTTCATCATACTTTAGGGTTCTAAGAGGTAAAATTACTTTTCCATCTTATCTTCTTTACCTAGAGAACCTTCACTCTTATTACAGAAGTCATTGTTTTCTTTTTGGTAAAAAATCCCTTTCGTAAAATGCCGAACCCTTCTTCCGAATTTCGCGAATACGAGGCTGACGATCTCGAAGCTCTCATGGGTGAAGGATCCGGACCTCAAATTCAAATCGGAGATGGGTTTGATCTTCACCCTAGAGTGAATCAACTATCGATTCTCTCAACGATCTTCGTAGATTATGTCTCACCCCCCCTGAGGTAGAGATGGTAGTTCCGGAGCCCTTCGAGTCTCCGGAGTCGGGGCGAGAAGGTTACTGCTGTGCCTATGAAATTTATTTCAAAGGGTGCGGCTTATTCTTTCCCCTTCCTGAGGTGCTTCTCGTCTACCTCAACTATCTTGGAATTGCTTTCTCCCAGATGTCGCCCAACATGCTCCGGTATCTTTTGTGTACCCTCACTGTTGCAGTGGAGGCGGGCTACTCATTGGGACTTTGCAAACTCCTGAAACTTTTCCAAGCTCGCGATTCCCAAACTTCTGGGTATTATGCCCTTTATCCGAACGCGGATCGGAATCTTATTGACGGCCTGCCTTTAAAAGACAACGCCTGGAGGAAGTTTTGGTTCTTCTTCCGCATAAATAATATTTCTATTCAGAGTTCTTCCGAACTCCTTCGAACTCACTGGTCATCGAATTTGGGTAGAAATTAGGACTTAACTGAATAAATTCCCTTTGTTATTTCAAACTGCGTTTCAACATTTCCTTGTTTTCTCGCAGGTCCTCAGATTCGACCAGTTCCATCCGTCGACTTCCTCAACTTCTACAAGGCCGTCTTGGAGAGGCCAGTTAATTGGAATTCTTTTACTCTGGAAAGAATTCACGGTGCCGGGTTTTCTGTCAGAATGACCCTTACTCACCCCGGGGACGACAAAGTCTACCGGAAAACTCTCCTTGTTGACGATGGATCTCTTGAAGGTTCAAAGTCAATGGCGGTTGCTGTGAACAATGCTCCCTCCCCCATCCCAGCAGCAGACAACGTGGTCGCTGCCACCGTTGAGGAAGAAGGCCTTACAGGTGATTCTTCTCTCATGAAAAAGAGGAAGGCCGAGGAACTTGAACCCCTGTTCCAGGGGCGTCCCAAAAACACAAGGAAGCTCAGGATGATTATTCGAATCTGCCTATTCCTGAATCTGCTGAAACTCAGGATGTAAATCCTGATTCAGGAATCGTTTTTAAGGAGCCGTTGGGTTCGGGGATGTTACCTCCTAGACGTCCCCGAGGTAATACTTCTAGGGTTCGATCGTCTCCGAGCTCGACACTTGTTGCCAGAGCTTCATCCCAATCAGGTAACCTTTAATTATTATACTATTACTTGAGATCAATCGACTTCTCAAGAAGCTCAATCCTCAAATCACTATCTTTATTCTAGACAAAGAGAATATTGGGAACATGTTTAGGTGCTTCCACACCCGCTTTGGGAAGAAACTCCCGTCCTTTGAGTGGTGGAAGTCTGATATCAAGAAGATGTATGTCAGCCATTCATTCCACTCCTCCCAAGTTTGACTATTTGCACCTTTCAACAACCGATTCGAAAGTTTTTTTTTTTTGAAACGTATCTTCTTTCATTAGGCAACTTTGGACGTAAATGGCATCATCAACTATTACGAAGAGGAGCTTTCCAAAGTTTCAAAGAAAGCTGCTGTTGCTGAAGGAGAGATCGAGAAACTGCAATCTTCCAGTCGGCTTGTGCAGGAGACTGCTGGCCTTGATTCGGCTCGCCAGGAGAAAATCGAACAACTCGAGAGATCTGGCGAGGAGACAA